AACACAAGAAGGAATGGGTTGAGCACCAGTCTGGGGAAAGACAAGCAAGGTGAACTTAGCTGTCAAGACACTGTGCTGCAAAGGGCTCTCGGAACACCTCAGCCAAGAAGGTTTGTCTGGGGTCTGGGGAAAGGAGATGCAGGAGACTCTCAAGATATGACATCTGCAACTAAGATCAAGGGGAGTAGTACTTCATATATGCAGGACTGTCTGAGATAGTACACATGCCTAAAACTTGGGTTCTCAGTTACGTGGAATATTTGCAGTTGAGATAAGCCATCACTTCCATTCAGCAAGTGTAGTAGTGGTTTTAACATGCTGCAGCACARTTCCTCTTGCCAGGTGGGTTTGCTCAGGCACTATTCTCTTTGTCCTTAGCACAGCTCTGTTTCACAGAATTTGACCCAYAGCAAATGTACAAAATKTTAYGGTGTKGGAGGAATARAAGTTTAATTGATGTGRAATTAGTCTGGCTTTTATTACTGATCATTGGAGAGGCCAGAAGGATTTTATGTAGGTCATCCAAAACAAGACTCAGTGAATGCATTTTCCTCTCTACATCATCATCTGCTTTGTTTATACTATGCTAAAGGCAACTGTTAATTCACATGCTCTGAAAATGCTAGATGTTGCAATCCAAATTACCTGCTGGTGGGAACCAGGACAGCTACATTGGAGAAAATTACACTGCTGCATTTATAACCAGATTTTACTAACATCCTGGACTGGTGCTGCTTTTCATTTCAGTGGCTTAGCTGAGTTGATGTTGTGCTATGAAACTTAACTGTGCATGCCTGTGAAAAGGAAAGATGATCTGAAAGTTCTAAGTTTTCATCTAAGCTGCTTCCTTCTTGTTGTTTTAGTGTGATATTGAGTGACTTAAGCGTAGTATCACCTTGCCTCAACTTAAGCACTTGATGAGAGAGCCTACACTAGGTATTTTATCCCCTTCCCCAAGAGCTAAATGACCTCTAGACATGTAATGTTGTTTGTTGGGGGTACTGATTTTTTAAAAAATATATCTAATACTTAAGAAAATATTTCTGATCTTGGTTTTTTAATTGATCTCATCTGATATGAAGACCTGGGTTTTTGTGGGAAGTGAATTGTTTCAGTGACACAGCGGTTTACTAAAAAAAAAAAAAATCAAGCCAATCACAAATTTGGTTACGTTAGGAATAGCCTTGTGAAGGAAGATTTATGAGCAGAGTAGCCAGTTTGCCAGTGAAAGGTACATGTTGTGTTGCCATGTGTCATACAGATCTACTGTCTGTCATAGGGATGTAAAACACCTCATCTCACAGAAATATGTTCGACAAGAAGACCTGGGAGATCAAGGCTAAATTATTTCTCTGGCCAGCCTAGCTTCAAAGACTATTTTGCCTGAGATGGAAGCGGATCCCCCCAGCCTCCTACACTGGTTTGCCCAGAGAGATAATTTAGCCCATATTTCTGTATGTATTTATATCTTYGTTTTGGCATTATGCATAGCATGGTTGCCATTTTTATTTCTGAACCAAGCAGCATCTTGATGCTAACAAAGGCACGTGTTATTTCCCACAACAGTRTTTCCTGAGAGAACATCTACCACACACAGTCTGAAAACAGTGCATTTTTCYACTGTGAGAGTGTTTCCTAAAGGTGCATTTTCCACATGCTTAGTGGCAAGTAGCCTTAGCATTGAAATATTTGTAGAAACAGAGAATCTTTGCTAAGCAGGTACCTCCTTATGAGAATACATGCTGTGTCTCTACAGTTGACAAATCTTTGCTGTATTAGGCATATCATTTTAAATATAATGGAGGGGTCCATCATGGGGATGCCATCTTTTATCAAATCCAGCTGATATTAAGATCCTTATTTTGATYATGCCCTGTGTTTAAGCATCTGTTTGCATGGATCTGTCAGCATTCCCATTATAAACACATMTTTTGAGGAAGATATGGTATGGGAGCAAACATCAAACCAAGCTAAGAGTTCTTCATCTTAAATAATTGATCCACATAATGTGTGTGCTGTAGAAAAGATTATATTAGAGAAATTTTATGTGATCATGTAACAAAAGAAATAATAAGAGGTAACTCAAGATGTAAAAGTGTAGATATATGTGTGTCTGTCTTAGACAATTTCCTGTCTTTTTAATGTTCTGCATCTTTAACATTCTACATTTCAAATCTGTGTACAAAATGGCACAGGACTGCCACCATAGCTGCAAGATCAGGAAAAGTTGGACAGGACAAAAACACAGAATCATTGAGGTTGGAAGAGACCTTTGRGATCATCTAGTTCAGCTGTCAACCCAGCACCACCATAACCCCAGCTGTCCCATCCAGACATCTTTTGAACACTCCCAAGGACAGTGGCTCCACAGCCTCCCCGACAACACATTCCAATGCCCGACCACACTTTCAGTGGAAAAACTTTCCTAATATCTGATCTGAACCTCCCCTGGCATAACTTAAAGCCATTACCTCTCGTTCTTTCATTTGACATGGCAGAGGCCAGCCCTCATCTCACTAAAAATCTCTTTTCAGGTAGTTTTAGAGARCAGTGAGCTCCCCCCAGAGGTTCCTTTTTCCAGTCTAAATTACCCCAATTCCCTCAGCCACTCCTCATAAAACATGTTTTCTGAACCCATCACCAGCTTTATTGCCCTTCTTTGGTCAGGGAGGACAGAAACAAAACCCTGACCCTACAAAATGCAGTGGAAAAAGTAAGATTTCCTTTTCCTTTCAGCAGAAGGGATCTTCTTTTGTTTGCTGCTCTCCTTCACCTCCATCACCAACCTTGTGATTGGTGAGTTTCACCATCAATAAAGTGGGACTCCTAAGAAGCTGTGTCTCCTCCTCTTTTCCCACCCAGAGCTCAGAAGTGCACAAAGCCATAATTTAGCTCCAAATGTTATTCTTGAACTYGTAATTAAGTGTTCATAGTCTCTTAGCTTCTGACCCAAATGCAATCTGATAATTATTCAGTGATTGCCTGATTAATAACTGTTGTGCAATTAAAATCTTCTAGCCTGSTCATTTGTGCATACAGAAGGATAGTAAGGTGCCCCTAAAATGTGCATTGCTGTTGTTTTAACCATTTAAATTTCAATAATCTCCTTGATAATTCTGTTAAGGGAACACTAATGTCCCTTTTCAAGAAAGGAACAGAAAGATGTGAGACACTTTCTAGTCATTGTAAATATTGAGTTTAATTCAAATATTATTTGAATGTCATTTAGAAAACAGAGTGCAGGCTCAGCTGAATGATGATTTGTAAAACAGAAAGAATGAAACTCCAAGAATACATAAAAGAACTCCTGATTTCTATTTGACCTAAAAGAGATCTTGATATCAATAGAAGTTTTGTCAGAGTAAAGATTTGTCAAAATTCAGACTTCCATCTTTCTAAAAGCAGTCCCTCTTGAGGGGTGTTTTAATATCTATGCAGAGCAATAACACAGAAAAATGACAGCTTGATCCAAAACTCATTGAAATCCAAGTAGGTTATTTCCATTGTTCAGAAGAAGATTATAGAGTGATTTACAGGAAAATATCAGGAATTATTCCATCAGCCTTCACAGGAAAACATTCAGTTGGAAGCATTGGTGTGGATGGCAACCATTTTACTAATAGTTCCAAGAGCAACAGCTCTTCTTAACACAGTATTACAATGAAAAATACCTACATTTTCAATTGCTTTTTCTTGRAGATGATGAAACTATTACTTTAATCATTCTGAGCAGGACAAAAAGATGTCTATAATTCAATTATCTTTTTTATGAAATAGTTTTAAGGTACCCTAATTTTTATCAAAATTTGTAAAATTCCTGTAAAATTAGTATTTTTCTCATTTGCTAATGAATATTTTACTAATTTACTCTTCTTCTCATGGGATGCTTCTAAGAAATTAAATATAAGAATTATTTATATTATTATTTATCTTACTAGCAACCTACATTTTAGAGCAATAGAAACTGAACTCAATTTCACCACAACATTTTAAGACCATAAAAAATGTTCATCTTCATAACATTTTACTGCAGATGTGACTGGTTTTTCCTTTTAAATTAATACATTTTCAACAGACTAGCTAGATGTTTGGCTTTAAAATCATAGAATCATAGAATCRCAGAATATTAGAGCAGYTTGAGTTGAAAGCGACGTTGTAACAACCATCTAGTCCTACCCCCAAAATAGTTAGTTAGGAATKAAATTGGTCAGCTGCGTAGACATTTGATCACTTTTTCACTTCTACCTTTCCACAGAGCCTAACTTTTATTCTCTTAAAGCAACACGTCTAAGAGATTTAGGATTAGATTGCTTAGAGATGCCCATTTTGACTTTGGAGGCACTTTGTTTTCAAGGGAGCCAAGAAGTTGTCTACCATCCTCTAGATTTCCCAAATTAGGTATCCAGAAGCATAAATCCAGTTAAAAGCTTAGGCTTAATTCTGGCAYCTCTGCAGTGGAAAGAACATAAATCTCAAGAGAAGGAGTACTGATCAGTTAAAGATGTTACTTCTCCAGCTGTCTGTCCGTGCTGGTARCAGCAGTTACTGTTCTCCAGCAGAGGCAGCAGAATGGGAATCTCTCAGTGCTGAATCTGCTGCTGAGTGTTGTCTAGTGGAGTGTGTCTGTGACTTGTGTGAAACTGCTTCTAGAAAGGATGAAACSACGCATCACATTGGAACATTTACTCTGAAACTTGGTGATTATTCCACCTGTGATTGTTCACTGTTTCATTGCTAGTCTGGGTGTYGAAAGTATGCGATACAGATAATATAAACAGTATATAGACCATAATACAATGGTCCCTCTGCATTATGAATTTACTTGAAAGTCTTTCYTTCCAATCTCTTGTCCAGGGACTTAAGATGCTCAGGAAAACCGTGCTATTCTGTGTGTTCCATTCCTTGTTGCATAATTCAGGAAGTTCCCAGCYTCCCAGTTCTCTCTGATTTGCTGAAATAATTACAAGGAACTTTTGYTCATGTCCCCTCTTTCCTTACAGCTCCAGAAGCAGCTGTCTGAGCTGGATGAGGATGATCTATGCTACGAGTTCCGTCGGGAGCGCTTCACCGTCCATCGCACTCATTTGTATTTTCTCCATTACGAGTACGAGCCTGCTTCAGACAACACTGATGTAACACTGGTGGCACAGCTGTCCATGGACAGGTAGGGRACACCTCTTGTTCATCTGGAAGCATGAAACTTTCATTACAGGGAAATCGAATTGTGTAATGTTTTAGAGAGGGAAAAAATGCACTTTCATAGAAACTTGGATGTTTTATGTACAATGCACACCCCATACTACACTCTGTGTGAATAGAGTGTGTGAGAGGGTGAATACTGGAGCTGCAAGAGTTTTTTATTTGTTGGGATTGTCAGGCATTATTAGTTCATGGAGTTTTGCAGCAACTTAGAAAAAACAGGAGATGTTTGTAGTAGAATTAGGCAAGCAATTGTAGCTGACCAAGTTTTAGCATGTGTTTTTCTACACTAGAGGATGTTAGTTTTGCTTTCATTGGCATTTTCCTTGCAGAAAATTTTCAATTAGTGATTTTTCTTACAGTGAGAATCAGAATCACTCTAATTTCAAATTACGAGGTTGAAAATTATACTTTTTTAAAAAATGTGCTAGTGTGAAATGAACAGTCTCCATTTGAGCAGTCATTGCATCTTTATCCAAATGTTGATTCTCAGAAGAACATTTCAGCTTTTAGTTCTGACGTGAAATGGAATTTAACTGGTATTTCATTTGGGGGAAAAAAAATCCATTTCGTGACAAGTTCCACCTGTACCTTTCTGATTCCCACCATTKCAATTGGTTGTCATTTTTCAGAAGGTTGAAAGTGCAGTGTGGATAAGCCAGCTTTGTGAAATTTTGTGAGTTCTCTTTTTTTTTCCTCCAGCCTCTCAGTTCAAATCTAGTCCAGACATTGTAGTTACTGCTATCAGAGTGGGTTACAAAACAAATTGGAACTCCCTGAGTATTAGCCAGAGAGGGATCATTTACTTCAGCATAGCAAATAGAGAATATAGCATGGCATGTGAATAACACCACTGCTACACTAGTAGAAGGTCAGCAGTTTTCCAGGAGGGTTACAGGAATTGAGATCAACAAAACATTTACAACCTGTTTTAAAAACAAACAGAAATGAAGGAGGGATATTCTGTTCCACTGGTGCCTCAGCTCTGCACATTGTGTTATGATTTGCTGTGCACATCAATGTCTGTTCTATTGATTTTTAATTGAGGAAACATTTCTTAAGTGCTCACTAACCTTTGAGTAAAAAACTAAAGAAATAAATTAGGCCAGACTTTGAGCAAGTGCCACAGTAAATTAGTAAAGCTAGTGTGTGCACATGGTATATTTCCCCCCCAGAATTTAATTAAAAAGAATGAGCTGGGGCTCAGTTCTGATTCACTGGCACTGATGCAAAGTCTTAGCATCTGTTTCCMTTTCTGGATTCTCACTGGGGCACATGTTTTTATTGATAGACRGAACCACACATTTTTATTCAGGAAGAACAGATCCTGATACTGTGCAGGAAAAATCTTCCCTACTTCGCTGGTGTGTTGCTATAAATTATTGATTTGAGTTGGAAATACTTTCTTTCAGCTAAAATCAATAAATAATATCATACCAAAGAACTGCTTAGCTGCTTTGTTTTCTTTCACATCTTTCAGTTGCTGCCTTACTTTTTTTTATCTCTTTTAAACAACTTTTATTGAACTCCTCTGGCACAACTGTAGACATTTAAGAATAGTGKCTCAGATGTGAGGTGACATGTACATAAACAATGTGCTGTACACTGCATTCCTGAATTATTCTTTGAAATTATTATCAGAGATGAGGAAAAGCAAAAAGCAACTCCCAGCATCTCCCATTATATTCTTGTTGGAGATGAGATTGACATGACTATCATGACAGGYTTGCCTGTCCTATAGGCTTGAGGAGTGGAAGAGAGGGATGCAGTTTAGGAGGAAACATTATTGTCTTTAGGTGGAAGCTTGGAGACAGACTTCATTCAGTGTTGTTCATTATTGGGTAATTGTCRTTTTTGCACTGATGTGACATTTCCTTGAATAATGGCTTGGTTGCAGTGCTTGATTTTCATGCACATGTGTTAGCTTGGGAGCCTTTTTAAAGGCTAATCCTAGGGATCAGAAATCAGAGCAAGAGTTAAAAAAATGTGARGTCAGAATGTGGAAATGATTAGCAATACACTGCTTAAAATCTGAGTGAGAATGAATTGGAAATCAGTAGCTTATTCTTAAGAAGAAAAATCAAAATAAAGAATCTCACAAAACAATTGAATTTCATCAAAATTCACTTAGCTGAACAGACCTTTAAAAAATTTACCATCTAAATTATCATCTCATTATTATGCAGTACAGCAGTATATTTATTTTCTCTRGAGTCCTTAAGAGAACGCATTCTTCAAGACCAAAACAAGAAAAAACTCTAAAAAAAAAACCCAGCAAAAAATCAAAATAAGTTGGTCATGTTGTGCTTAGAAACTCATAATTCTATGTTTTGTGGTCAAAGGAGATTTAACAAGCTACAGAGAGCAGATTATGGAGCATGACCTAGCAGTCCCCCTATCAAACTTAGAGAAGCARAGCTTGTCAATAAGAGCACCATAAAATGTAGTATTCTGAAGGGTACTAAGCTGTCCAGCTGGGAACTTGTACCAGCAAAACCCAGTTTCCACTTCAATATTATGAAACGCTTTGCATTTTCAGGTGTGCTGTTTAAATAAGTTATGTATGCCATTTGTCCCACTTCATGGAGTCCTTAGAAGGCATTTTTGCTGCATTTTTTACTAGGCAAGTTTTCCATTTTTAAAAGGATGCCCTAAATTTGAGTGCTGACAGACTKGATTCTCCTGACTAACAGATTTCCACTATGTTGGAAAAAGGAAAAAAAAWATCCCTATTTATTRTTTGTGTAATCAAAMGTCTAGACACTTCACGAYTTTTTCAGGCTGATAATAYAGCCTTTGTTTCAATAACAGATAAAAAGAAAATGATGTACCAAGTRTAGACTTGTAAAGTAGTATCTCCAATCTAACAAAAAGTTATTATATCATCTTGGTATCATCACAATCATTCAGAAAGGCAGGAAAAAGCTATTAATGGTAAGTCATACAGTGTGTTTACTGGTGTGAGTATATCATTCCTTTATTTTGCAAAGCTTAGAGAGATAGTAGGAGGCAGAAATTATTTTCTCAGATTATGGTAATGCAGAAAACCTTCCTTGTGGTTTGCATAAATATTAATAGGAAAAATCAGTAATGTGGATTTGGAACGGAGAGAAGACTATCATTTTGCATCATCTACTCTTCCCAGTTTTTAATAGAAAAGCTATGCAGCCTGTGCAAGGCTGCATAGGTCATTTCCCTTTTTATTAAATCAAGAGGTTTTGTAATCAGTCCTCACTGTATTTTTGGGTGACACATCTCAGTCCTGAGGCAATAAATTACCCAACATGCATAAACGATTTTGACCAGGTTGGGTTTGATTTACGTTTTTGTATGAAATCTTTTGTTGTCATTTTCATCACTACTATTGTAACTGCTGAAWTTTTTAAAAAATATACATCAATGCAACCTGTTTAAAAAATGATTTAATGAAATTTGAGATAGTGCTAAACATATACAAGTTAGTACTTCCAATGATGGTTATGTCTGAAATGTTCTTTTGAAATTCCACAGCAATGCCACGTCTGTCCTTCCTTCTCTCCTTACTCCCCGCTAATAGTAAATCCCATTTCCATTGATGTGCCATTCTTTTGCCCTTTCTCTGCTAGTGAGCCACCTTCTAGTTAATGCAACTGTTCACATAAGTCAGCATCCCCTTGAGCTGTCTTTTTTAACAGCTTTTAATATCTGACTGACTGCCTTGCAAAAATTTGGGGAAGGTTTTCCTAAACAGGAGGTAAAATGATCTGTGGGTCTGTACTCCTGTATCCTCAAAAGCTTGTTGAAGAGCACTGTGGTGCTACTGTGTGGGAATAGTTTGACCTGAAATGTGAATTGGGAACTAGACACTATTGAAGTTTACAAGCTCCCTATCCTGYAAGTAGATCCACATGGATAGATCCCTGCAACTGCCCAAAGCTCCCATCAGGTAAGTCCTTTTATCCATTTGAGCTTTCCTGCAGCATCAAAGCTTAAGGCAGAAAATGATGGTGCTTTAGGGATCTGAGTTGTGGCTGTGTGTATCTGATCTAGGGCCACCTCAGGCTCCCTGGGATTCCTTGAAATAGGTGTATCCAGTGTGCAGTCCATCTGTCCAGGAGGAGGCATCAACCATCTTAGATGAGATGAATTATGCTGTAGAAATATTTACTGCTTTCCACAGCATATAAAGTGTCCCCAATCTGTCTCACTTAGAGAAAGATATCTGCATTTGATCAGGTGAACCCAGGCACAGAGCCCCAAATAGGGAAATGGCTTTTTCTTACTCTCACCCTTCCTCTTTCAGGCTCCAGATGCTTGAAGCCATCTGCAAACACTGGGAAGGTCCAATCAGCCTGGCMCTGTACCTTTCTGATGCAGAAGCCCAGCAGTTCCTGCGCTACGCTCAGGGCTCAGAGGTCCTGATGAGCCGCCACAATGTTGGCTACCACATCGTGTACAAGGAGGGGCAGTTCTACCCCGTGAACCTGCTAAGGAATGTGGCCATGAAGCACATCAGCACCCCTTACATGTTCCTGTCCGACATTGACTTTCTGCCCATGTATGGACTCTACGAGTACCTCAGGTAATGGACAGTGGGGAGATTCCCAGTGTCACCTGGGATTTTAGCCTTTCCACATCCCACCCTTCTCACGTACTCCCAAAACAAAGCAGTTGGAGCAGATCTGGAAAAGGCAGCTTATAAATATCGGGGGAGTGACTATGCCCAGCAAGGCACAAGAATTTTTAGAGTAGAAGAAAGGGCTGTAACTGAAAGCAAAGCAATGCCAGTATAAAAGAAAAAAACTCAGGTCTGAACATGAGCCTTGTTAGCCATTAGAATAATCCCCTCAGAGTTGCAGAAGAGCCCATTTGAAAATTGGATTTGGTTTAAGTATTATTAAATGTCCAAGAGCATCCTTTATTAGCAGAGATGTGAACCAGGCAATTTCTCTAAACATCTCTGGTTCTTAATATCAGTGACACTAAAAACATGCAAAGCATTACTGAGATTGTTGTCCATGTGACATACTCTTAATCCAGGTCCTTATCTTGAAAAGGGGGCGATGAGTCTAACCAGCTCAAAAACATGACTGCAATGCCAGCACCTGTCAAAGCAAAAGAATTACCATAAGGAAACTGGGAGGAGTARCATCAGGGTATATTGTATTATACTGCATGTGAGCAGGTTGGGCTGAGCAAACTATGGATTTCTGATCCATTAACTGAGCTTGTTTTTAATAAAGACCTTTTTCCCCTGCAGAGGCTGGTCAYCTGAGGCCAAAGCATAGAGCAAGGAGGACACCCTGTGGCCAGACAGGAGGATGTCAGTTCCTTTATCCTGACCAGTTTTGCTTTTCGTCTCTGTTCTAATTTGGTAAAAGCTGATCCAAGTATTCCAGTGAGGGTCTGTAGGCGTTCCCTTTCAATTCATAAGCCCAGGGCTTTGGAATGTAAAGGAGAATTTGCCTTCTGGTATCATAAATTCATGGAGGAGTTTCTTTTTTTCAGGTTTAATTCGGTAAGATACGTACAGGGCCAACATATTCAGTGTTCAGAGGGATGGAGTACATGTTCTATGAGGGATGAGAAAGTTGAGATTACTCAGCCTGGAGAAGTGAAGGCTCCAGGGAAACCTTATTATGCCCTTCCAGCACATAAAGGGGGCTTATTAGAAAGATGGGGAGGAACTTTTTTAACAGGACCTGTTGAGATAGGACAAGAGGGAGTGRTTTTAAACTAAAAGAGGGTAGATTTAGATAAGATACAAGGAACAAGTTTTTTCAATGTGGATGGCAAAACACCGGAAAAGATTACCCAGRGAGGTGATGGATGTCCCATCCCTGCAAACATTCAAGGTCAGGCTGGGTGGAGCTCTGAGCAAACTGATCTAGTTGAAGATGTCCCTGCTMATGTYCACTTTAGAGGTGCCTTCCAACCCAAACCATTCTATGTCTTTCAAGATGCTGAATTTCAGTTGTATCATTTAAGTGCTAGCACACTGTGTCAGCTTGTTTCCGTCTTATTTTGTTGAAGTCTTTTCAACTTAYGCTATGAACACTCCAGAAATATTTTGTCACTTGCACACATTAGCTACATCTAGATAGGTGGAGGAAGAGCTGTTTTTCATTTCTCTGTTCTTCAATATTACTGTTGCATACTGGTGCATTTCTTCAGATCAGTGCTGGACACAGTAAGGATGRCAGCTGTTGATACTGGCATTTAGTGTTAAAAAAGGAACTTGTTCTTCCCTGCTGCTTCACAGTGTGCGTATGGGAGCCAGCAATGAAAGGAAGAAGAGAGAAGACAGAATGATGTACCACCATTTACTTGAGATACTACAACCACAGAAATAATTCTCATAGGGTGATACTGTGTTACAGAACTAAATGCACCATTGGTGATATTTCAGGAAAAAAAAAAAAAATTAGATTCTGTCTGAGAGCTGTTGCATCTGAGACTTTGTGTTACCCTGCCAGCCTTTTTTAAGGGCCATACTGCCTTGACTCTGACTGTGAGTCTCTCTTGCCTGGGAATATTGAAGCTGCTAATCTGCTACTACCAGCACTTTGCCAACTGATTGGATTTTTTTTYCTGCATGTGGACTATAGGCTTTTGTTGCTTTTTCAGTAATGATTTTTCTATGCAAAGTAGTAGGGAGGTGCATTGAGATTATTTTAAATATGGATGCCTGGTGTCTTCCTGCATTGACTGYTCCCACTGCCTCTGCAAACAGCTGATTAGTGCTATCTGTCTAAATGGCAGCAATTGTTTGTAAAACATTTCCATCCTCATTTCCTCAGATAGAACAACCATAAACAAATAGAAACAGTGTGGTATTTCAGGCATCACTTTGTGTAGAATAAGCCAGACAAGTCCCTCTCACTGCAAGTTTGCTGATTTACATATATTGCACATTGTGTCTCTGCAGATAATACATTCTCAGAAAGAAAGGAATTTTGAAAAATATTTTCAGCATATTTTGAAGGTGTCACATTTGAAAGGTTACAACCAKTTTTGAAGGAGAAGCTGATGGAACTGGTGGTTACCTGTCCCTTTATCTAACTGTTGCTTTGTTTCAAGATTTCCTGTTTACTGTAGTTACTGGGGTCATCTTGTCATTGCCCCAAAGGTAAAAGCTCCTTCTAGTTGCTGCAAGTAAGGTGTTTGGGTTATCCCACAGTAATCTGGCATAAAATAGCTGGACAGGCTGCTTATCTACAGTTGTCACAGCTAGCATGAAACTTCTTTCCTGACACGTTTGTGTAAAATGTGCTCCTGGCTTCCAGTGACACATTTAGCATGAACTGGGACCTGGCATCCAATCTGCATCCACGGGTTTTATATCTCTCCCTACASCATGAGTTGTGAAGTAGTTCTGTTTATTTTTCAGCATATTTCAGGTTGTGCATATTGGTTTTTCTTCGTTGGATGCCTTTGAACTCATTGCTTTTGCAGAGAGAAAGAGCATTCTAATGAAATCAGCAGTGGGTTGACATCTCTCCAGTTCTTACCACAAGCTCAGTAACTGCCATATTTGTTACCTCCAACCAACCACTTACTGAGTCCTGATGGTGGAAACAAATTCGAGTTAATGGACTCTTTTTTTCCTTTTTTTTTTTTTTTCTGAGTGCAGTGCTTTACCTTTCTGTGTCTGAACTACTCTGTCCTCCAGAAATGGGAATGATATTACTATCTACTTCCACGAGGATAAGAATTCTGTGTTAAAGTTTGCAAAGAACTATGCAGATCAGAAAATTGATATCAACATGCTGGAGTTCATTCAACCCATGAGGAGACTCTTGTGATTTAAGATTAATTTCTTTCTGCTTTGTGAAAAATACAGTTGATTGGATTTAAAATTTAACCTAACCTTCACTGTGTCAGAATGTCACGCACTTAGAATGCTTGCCTTCTGCAGCAGCCACTATGTGTGCTGAAGCCTGCTTCCCTGGAAGTGACCAGATATCACTTGATGGGAAGGAGAAAACAAAATCTTCTGKTTTTGTCTTTGCTGGTGTACACTCAACCTTTCACTTTTGATTTGGTAAACTACCTTATCTCAACATATTAATTGTTTTCGGTCTTATTTTTTGTCCCCTATCCATTTGAGRAGGAGGGCTGAGAGCAGCTTTGTGGGCACAYGGTGTYCAGCCAAGGTCAACCCACCACACCAACATGCACCTCAGATGCTCACATAGGTCTTGAAAATACTTGTGCAGGGAATATCCTGCTATTTTATTTCACCCTGGAAGTACCTCCACCAGTTCTCTTGACTGTATCCACTACAAGCATCTTGTTTCCAGACCCCTGTTTCTCTTCACTTACCTAGCTTTTCATGTGGACCTTTGACACTGCAAGCGATTTCAGGCTCTTCTGTTAGTGTTCCCTCTGTCTTTTGATTTCCTCAGGAAGGTACTATCATTTATTCCTTCCAATAGTTCAGGCATTGACAMCTGTATGAAATTTCCAGGTGACAAGAGCAGCAGGGAGTGTGCAGAAGGGATTGCTGATATCGACAGCATTTTTGTGGTTGTATCCCATATCTTAGAGAATAAGTCACATTCAGCACTAATTTCAACACAGGCTGCTCTGTCTGACAGTTTCTGCTGTTACTTTTTRCCTGTGCCTGTATCAAATTTGATCAGCCTCAGACTGTAAACTCTGGTGGACAGGATTGTCTCCTATTCCTTGACAGAGTCAAGCACAACAMGTCATTGAATTTGGCCTGGGCCTTTTGAGCTCTCCATAAAACTAAGTTATAGTAACAGCCATAAATGCAAGCTGCTGTTTTCCTTGCAGAGCCCAAAGGATGAACATCACTACAAATGTTACCTGCTCCTTCCTAGAACTGAATCCCCAAAGCTGTACTGCTCAAGGCTGATCAATTGCACAGAGACCAGAAAGCCTTAGATAGTGGAAAAGAAACTATATTAGTATCCCCTGCTCTCAGAGAAGTGTGAAAGGGAATTAAAAACATCATAAAGATTATATCTTGGCCTGCTCAACAACGCAGGAAGGTCACAAATGTTCATTGAGAATGCGTCTTCTATTGGCATGCAGATATCTTGGTCATTAGTGATGGTGAGGGAGAAGATAGTAAAGAAACTACAAAACYGGTTATGATAAGATGCTGTTAAAATCCTTCCATTGTGAAAAGTTAACTGAAATGTGTCAGGGGCTCTTTAAACAATGCAAACTTTGCAGTAAGGAGCTGAGAACAGATTGCTTTTTATAGAACAGCKCTATAGGGTGGCATGAATTCCCTAAAATGCAGATTTTATTAGGGAGTCATGCTCTTCTTCTTTTTTACTGACAGCATTATAAATGAATTCCAGGTTTCTGGACCTAGAAAAATGGTTTGTTTTGTCCTTCTGTTATTAGGACAGTGATCCCAATTCCTTCAACTTAAAAGGCTGTAGAGAGTTTGCTGCTTGTCAACATTGTCCTTGATTTCTTGTTGCAATAACATAAAAGTCAGGACAGTGAATCCTGTTAAGGGGAACTGACTTTGACAGGGAGAGAGAAGCATATTTCTAGTAYGAAATATGGAGATAATGAAAGGAAAATTGAGACAGAGTTATTTCTAATGACAGGCATGGTAAGATTCAGTTGGGGAATGGAAAAGTAACTTCTTTTTCTTTGAGTTTGAGTTTGTTAGGAAAGAATAGACTGAACACTTCTGGCAGGCAGGATGAGAGGTTGCTAAGCTGCTCCTCTGCTGTTGTCCCAAGGCCCCTGCCTGGAAAAGAGCCCTGCTGTGTGAAATGCATATGTGCACACACTCAAATACCAAAATAATCTGTGCACTGGACAACTTGCAGCAAAATGAAGGAAAAAGTGAGGCRTCCCAGTCCAACCAGTGTACAGCTCTTCTCTGCTGGCACAGTCTCTGTCAGGACAGCATTGATCAGTCAAACACACAWGTCCATTTAGAATTCTGTTCCTCTCCCTGCTCTTGCAGCAGCAGACCAGGAGCAGAAGAAAATATGAAGCACRTGTGGGAAGAGATATGGGCCGTAGTTACATTTACAGTATCTAACTGCCCATTCTTTGCACTTTATTTTGAAAAGCCCAGTGATTTGCTCAGTTGAAATTTTTCCTGCTTTTATTTGTTGTTTCTCTTTGCCAGGAAGTCTGTCATCCAGCTAGACCTAGCTAACACCAAGAAAGCTCTGATTGTACCTGCCTTTGAGACCCTACGCTACCGCCTCTCCTTCCCCAAGTCAAAAGCAGAGCTGTTATCTATGCTGGACATGGGAACCCTCTTTACATTCAGGTAATGAAAGTACTCTTGAACCTGTGGTCATTATCTGTTTTTTATGTTCTTCTGARTATTTGGTTCTTTTCTCTCCATGTCATCTGCATTAAGAAACTTATTGGAATTTTTTCCCTATTCATAGAGAGGCAGTGAACAGAATCGTGGATATATTCTGTCTGTAAGCTCAGCATTTTATCTTGCATTACAGTCCTCTACTGAAGGACTTCAGCTGTTGAATCGAATTTGTTTTATTTTCGTCATTTTTTATTGCACCACAAAATCAAGYATGACCATTACAGTCAAGTGCGTGTAATTTACTTTTTTGGCTGCCAAATACTGTCTGGGTAGCTGTGTCCTCCCATGTGACCAAAAGTAATGTATCTCTGCTCATTGGTTCTCTTCCTTACTGGAAAAACAAATGCAGGCTTGTCTTTTGCTGTTTTAAAGTGTGAAACAGCTGCTTAAATACCGAGAGTTCCTCCATGCAGAGGTAAGAGAGTACTCTGACTAGAGGCTAAGAAGCAAAGAATATCTAAATTTGGAGCTCCTCTCTGAAACAGACTCCTTTTRTGGCTGTGAACAAGTCACTTCTATTATCTGCCAGACTCTTCAGTTTTAAAATGCAACTAGCAGGGGTTAACCATCTCTTGGGTGTATGTGGTAAGGTCTGATTAGCAGACACTTGTAAAGCATCTCAGTGATGGCAAGAGTACAATATGGCCTTATGATGTTGCACAGAGAGGGGGCTTAGGAGACCTGCGTTCTCCTCTCAGCTCCRCTACTGCCCTGCTGAGAGGTGGTGCACGAATCACTTTGCTTTCTTACATCTCTGTTCTCCATCTCTGAAATACAGGTAACAATGTTCACCTCTCCTTTTTACAGTATTTTGAGATCTAGAGATAAAAGCTATGAAAGAGCTAGGCATTATCCATGGCTGGAGGAGCTCAGTATCATACCTCTCCCATCCTTCTCTTTAGAGCTTTCCTCACACTGTTCCCATTTCCTACATTGCACACCTTTCTCGTTGCAGCAGCCACCCTTCCTTCATGTGGTTGCATGCAGATGTCATAGCAGACAGTCTGTGATCAAACATAATTCTGATCAGTGTCAGAATTCTACCAATGAGTCTTCTGCCTTGAGATAGAAACTTGAGGCGACTGAGAGAGCCATGCCTCTGGAAAATTACATAATGATACTGACAGAACAAGTACCTTTCCCTCTGCCATCATTCTTTAACAGTCAAAAGACAAAAATGTACATGAGATCTCTTGATAGAAAATATTTGTCTTTCCCATAGCTGAAAAAAGTCCTTTCTTTGGAAAATGACACCCTCAGGATTTTCAGATGTTGCATTTCACCAGCAGTCAGCTGCACAGTGGTGGCCTTCCACTACAGATTTCATCTTCGAGCTAATACAGCGTGTTGGTGTGTTATGTACTCAGCCAGATTTGCAAATCCTTTCTCAAGTCTCACTCAGGCAGAAATGTCTTTCAAATCAGTGGGAGTTTTTCCAAAGCAAGGTTAAATAAGAATTGAAGGACATGCAGTCTGTGGCCGGTGTACATATTGATGTAGGATACATTTTACAAATGCTTCCCTAGTTTGCTTTGGTTCGTTTCATTGCTCAAATCTATCAGCAGCCACAGAGCAGCTGTGAGCTGGGCTGAGAATTTCCACCTCCACCCTCAAGGTGCTTTAATAATGCTGCAATTGGACAGTGAGCGGGTGGGAGTGAGCTGGGGAGGACTGCTGTGACAGTGATTGCTGAGAATGCCTGCAGCATCCCAGTCCCTCACACCACACGCTAGATTACAATCTTTCCCTCACTGAAATTGCTTTTGTCACCTCTTTTCGAAATGGTGACCTTTTGTACCTCTGGGCAGCTAAGAAGTACACAACGGCTCTCAATTACATCCCTCAGTCAGCAGCAGAGGAAAAGAGAAGACGAGTGAGTGTGTGTGGCTGGCAGGGTGTGCTGTGTGACCCCCTCGGTGYCAGCGGGTGCTCTGGGCCAGCTCCCTGGCTCCCTTTGCAGCTGGTGGCTGGGAGTGTTCTCCCCAAAATGTGCCTGCTCAGGGCTTGGCAAAGAGCTGATGAGCCACAMAAGTACTGCCCACACGCTTCCAGGCACAAGGGAGACCACAGCTGGGAAAAAACGCATCATGGTACTGAGAAAACATCAAAAGCAACAACTGATTAACTAATTAACTGATTGCATCCACAATCCAGCAAACTGTTCAAGCATCTGAGAACAGAACWGGGAAAGTTGTTCTTCCACCAAATCGTGTTTCTCACTAAAACAGGAAGCTTAGAGGGACAAGGAAGGGAGGAATAACACTCTGAGAAGAATAACTACTTCATTTTGCTAACTTTAGCRAAGTTTACTGTAGTTTTGACATTTTATTTTAAATAAAAGCAATCACTAATACAAATAACAAGAAACATTGGATCCAAAGTGGAGGAGGAGGGGGTGTGGTGTGTTATAGTTGTTTTCCATGAACCATGGGAAAGAAACKCATCATGATTTTAGGGAGATCCAATTACTTGGTTTGGATTTGTTAAAATTGCCAGAGTAGTAAAAATATGTTGTTCACAATTTTCACAAAGTTCTGTGGGGGCTCAGAGACTGAGTGTGGCCTTAAAATTCAATGTGTATTTAAGTGTTGAGTGAGAAGGKCCTGAGCAGAAAATTACATTTGTTCATTTGTCCTTTGAGATGGAATACCAGTATGGACAGTGAACCACTTCTCACAGCTGTGTCACCGATAGTGAAGTGTGTTGGAAACATTAAATCCTTTAATGGGAGCTTCCTCTCTATGGACCTCCATGTGATGGTGTCTGCTTATCTTCCTTTGCAGTTCATTTCATGTTATCAGTCATTGACCAACATCTACTTCCAGCAGATTATCTATGTATGTGTATATATATATATATATATGAACCCAGATATATTGTATGTACAGATATGTATGTAATCCAATAATCCTCTCACAATTCTTGTTTTTAGTCTAATTACTTCTCTGTCACTATTGTGTGCATACCTCATTTGAGCATCCTGTRCTCATTTACCTCTTTGCTCAGACCTTAGCTATCCTTTTGCCTTTCTCTTTCTTTCCACCCACATCAGTCATTCTGAAGAGGCAAGTAAATAATCTCTGTTGTTATTTGGTTCTGTACAATCAAGTCTCCTCTTCCTTTCTGCTTTGTTTTGTCTCTGCAATCCCAGTTCCATATTTTCCTTTCATTATCTCTTCCCAATTATTTATTTTTCCTTGCTAGTTTGCTCTCTTGACTCACAGAGGTTATATTTGAGCTGCTATAGGTGCTTACACTGAYATCTCCAAAAAGGGTGGAAAGAAATTGATTTTTTTTTATGGTTACCCCCTGTTACCCCCTGTTTAAATCAGTGGGAGAGTGTTACTCAAATAACAGCATTTGGCTGCTTCTCTGCAGGAATCTCTCAATTAACCAAAGTTTGGGGCTTTGAAGATACAAATCACTTCATAACTGTTTAGCAGTCATTTTTATTATTATTATCATAATTGATTTCAAAATGCCAGAGGTAGGATTTTAGAAGATACAGCACCCTCCACAATCCTCTATTATTTTAAACCCCACATTGTGACTGTTGGTTTGGTTTTTTTTCCAGCATAGGTAACTGCACATTAGTGACTGGGCAGGTTAGCCACTCACCTCCAAGAGAGGCCAAGAAAAGGGATAGGTTTTTGGAGATGTTTCCATAGGGCATTAAGGATTATAGGCATCTTTGTGAATCTGGCACTGCTTTCTAATTATCTCTGGAGAATTAATTCACTGTCAGGTTTTTTTTGTTTTTTTGTTTTTTGGTTTTTTTTTAATACAGAAGGGTTTTGTTGTTCCTCGTCCCCAGGCCAAATGCCTGAAAGTGATGAAACCTGTTTACAGTTTAGAAATACAGCATACAGAGGACCACACATTACTGTGACCCCAAAGCCGTCCTAATAATTCAGCCTTCCTGCTGACCATAGAGAGTCAGCAAAGCTGAGCATCTTTGATTCTTCTGTTACAAGCCATATAAATATGTCCAAATGAAAACTCCTGGGCTGTGATTTTACATTCCTGTTTTTAGCAATGGCTTACAACGTTATGAGATTTTTTGGAGTGAAACATTACATCATGTTGTAATTTTGCAATATTTAATKCTCAAATCCTTTCACTTTTAGGATGTGAGTCATCCCTGCACCTTATTTTATAAACTGGCAGGATATTTGTTTTGTCCCTTCTGTTGCATATTCGGTGTTKTAATACAGATACCTGCTATGCCTTTGTTTCATTAATTAATCTATGAATCTGCAGAAAGAGCTTGTCTCATTGATTTTTGGAAAGTGTTRGAGTAAGTGAGCAGGAGTCATTGAACATGGCTCTAATGGGGTGGATTCAAGCTGTGCTGGGAAGAGACCAGCTGTGACCTAAACAAGATTAACAAGATATAATAGGATCTTTTTTTGTAAAACAAATTGATTACCTTACTGAGGATCWCAGAAGTGCTCCTCACAATGCAGAACTTGCAGCAGAAAGACTTTATGTAAWATTTTACTTATTAATGTAATTATGCATCTTGGTTCCTGCCATAGTAATAACTGTAATTAATRAAATGGAACATCTATCCATAGCTGCAGGTGTCTCTCATGCAAATGATAAAATTGCCTATAAAACAGATTGTGAATGTCACCATGGTGGAGAAATCACAAATTTTAGGGACCTTATCTGAGCTGCAGATTTCCACTCTGATTTTAGAGCAMTGACCTATGCAGCTGCTTGGTTGTTAGGAATAAGACACAGCACTTGTAATGCAGATGAACTGACAGGGTACAGTGTAATTGTTTCCCACATTAGCATGAGGTACTGTTTTCACACTATCCTTCACCAACGAGATGTGTTTAGGCACTGAGCTCTGGGAAGCGTGCTGGAAATAGTCCTAGAAATTGCCTCTGCTGCATCCTGAAAATGATGATGTGAACTGTAAGCTGATGTCCTTATTTTTGAGCATTTCATTTAACAGGTAATACTCTGCTGCCTCGCCGAGATGCTTTCTATCTAATTGCCTCCCCACGTCCCTGCCGTTTATGTCTGTTTCAGGTACCACGTCTGGACGAAAGGGCACGCGCCAACAAATTTTGCCAAGTGGCGAACGGCCACCACCCCCTACCGTGTGGAGTGGGAAGCAGATTTTGAGCCATACGTGGTGGTGAGGAAGGACTGCCCGGAGTATGACAGGCGCTTTGTTGGATTTGGCTGGAACAAAGTAGCTCACATCATGGAACTGGATGCACAGGTGAGGAGATGACACATGAGTGTCTCATCACCCAGGGCTCTGCAGCAGGGTTGTTAAAATGAAAATCTGTCCTGTAGAAAGCGTGTGGCGCTTTGCATCACCAAAATGTTCATCTGGCCTTACTGAGCTCCTTAATGAGTGCTTCTTGAKCTGGGAACACTCAGTTTAATGCTTGGCAAGTATTAAATAAAGAACTGAGTTAATTTATTTGTCAGTTCTAAGAAATTTATTGTTGCACAGAGGCACAACCCCTGTAGTGCTCTCGTCCTGACCAAAGCATTGCAGCACATGTTGCCGGTCCCATTGTTAACTAGAGAATCTGTACACTTGGCTGGATTTTTTTCATTTAAATATAGGTTTGTGKGTCTCAATGGAATTCAAAAACTACTCTTCAGCTGAATTCAAGGCAAGCATCTTCAATTTCTGGTAAGGATTTACAGCACATCTCTGCAAAGCCAAARTCTTAACATTTCCAAAGACTGGGGCTGTGCTGGACAGCACATCTCTGCAAAGCCAGTCTTAACATTTCCAAAGACTGGGGCTGTGCTGGACAGCACATCTCTGCAAAGCCAAAGTCTTAACATTTCCAAAGATGGGGCTGTGCTGGACAGCACATCTCTGCAAAGCCAAAGTCTTAACATTTCCAAAGACTGATCCTCTAAAGGATCCAGGTACTTGAGCCTTGGGCTACCTGCTCCTTGGATCCGTGACTTGGGATGAAGTTGCTGGGCAGAATTTATAAGAATAAGGATGCAGAGAAAGCTCAGGAATCCCAGAGTGGCACCAGAGCTCTCAGAATTGCCAAGGTCCCTGCCGCCAACSTAGGTCTTAGAGGCCGGCAGTGACTATGGCTTCATGGGAGCCAAGTGCTGCTGCTCCCTGAAAGGGCAGGATTTGCATTGCCCTTCTGTTCTTGGATGGGGAGCTGCCCACTGTGCTAATCAACAAGGTCTGTGTCGTGGCATTCCTTTTTAGTTTGGGTTTGTTCTAGCTTTTTTTTCAGTCTGGTTTCAATCCCAGTGTTTGAACTAGTAGCATTTTGTGCTAACCAAAAAAAATAGGTTTTGACGATCTGTATCCCCTGTGATAGCTTCTGCTATGAATCTGGAATATAGCTGATCTTTCTCTGCTCAAGTCTTATCAGTTTATGTGAAGCAGAGCAGCACAAGGTTGGAACAAGTTAGTGGGAGATTGTGTCTCTGGGCTGTGGGCTACWGTCTATTTGTGTGCAGGCATGTATGGGAAGGATATTTTCTACTTCTGCTTACAAAACTACTTGGTTACCTTGGGCTGGCAGCCACCTGGCCTCTGTTTGCAGAGGGCATTCCAAATAAATCTGTACCTACTGATGTTGAGAAAAAAATTATTACAGGCTAGGAAAAAAGTTGTCCCTTATATTAATGATAATAATACTTTGCTCTGCTATAGCACTGTAATTTTCCAGTGCACTTTCCAAGCACTAATCAGTTAACCACCAGTTGTGGAGAGTGCCAGAGTAATGGTTTGTTATTTGTTAATATGGGTAACAAGGCTTATGTTCCCAGTGACAGCTTTAATGTAGCACTCAGGATTCAAATCTTCTGTTCAGAGATGTCTGCCCAGCATAGAGATTCACACATGGAAAATGGAAACATTTTTCAAAATTGATCATAGCACAATTATTTTAAATGACCATYGGGTTGGAATTAACTCTGTGAATTKYTTTTCTCACTCTTYCAGCCTTGAATACACKATCAYATTYAAAAGAAGTTTCATTTTCCTCTGTAGCAACACAGGTATTGGCAGGTCTCCTACAAAATGAGCTTGGAGCAGACATAGGATCATTCTGTGGCATTCCTCTGTTTCGGGATGTGCACAGGCACAGGTAGCTGCCAGCTCTTGGCTGGCTTCATTATTAGCAGGCAGAGCAGCTTCTCAGTTGAGTTATTTCACTGCTCCTCATAACTGCGGTGTCTGTCAAGAGGTCTGTTCCAGATCCTTTTCCAAGAGCCTGTGCCACTACTGTCCTCAGAGAAGGACATGGCATGGAGATAATCATCCTTGTTATTCTGGGAACATGCAGGTGTCCACGGAGCTGGATTCTGTACAAATACACAGATAATGCCAGTCTCCATCTAAACAATTGATAATCTGGGAGATGGGGACAGAGGTTCCTGCAAGTGCGTTGCCCTCTCAACAGAGGTTTCCATGTAATAGGGAGAGGTCTTTAGGAAACCTTTCCCTACTCTTCCAGTGATTGTGGAACCAAACTGAGCATGCCATTTTCCAGGACCCTATGCCAGCATATTTCAAGGGGGATTATTAGCAGGAGACTCACAATTTTTTGGAAAGTTTTATGTGCCTGAAGGCCACTCAGAGGAATGGGAGCATTGCTGTGCTCAATAGTTTGCACTGCAGAGTGTAGACAGAATTAAAAACTTGCAAACAGAGAGCAAAGAAAAGGTAGTGTGAGGGGGATGCATCTTCCTCTGCAATGCCAGCTCATAGTTTAAAGGTCCCTTAGAGGTATTTTCTGTAGTTTGTCCTTTCTCAGCTCTCCTCACTTCATAGTGCCAGCCTTTGTTTTTGCACTTGGCTCCCCATGATTCCTAAGCCTCTTCCAGCTAAATAAATTCTGCCTGTGAGCATCAGATTATTTTGCTCTTGCTCTACATTTTTCACCCCAAACAGAAATTCAGAGGACCCCTTTCCCATGCATGACAACGTTGTAAATTGGCACAAAGGTTTACCCCTGTAAGGAAACAGGCATTCTCATAAGGAGGAAAGAGCTGCATCTGCRCTTAGCTGTCCAGCACGTGCTGCTGCTTCATGGGGTCCCTGGGAAGGCACTGCAGCTTGAGCTGTRCTTCGGGCTCACCACTACCACTGCCTGCATTATGAAATGGATCCACATTTCCYTCTGTTCACTTCTTTTCCATCTTAATTTGCCTTTATTTTTGGCTATATAGCTCAAATACTTGGTGTCTGGTAGCATTGCAACTCGTTTATCATAGGTTGTTAAGTGAAGACTTGCAGGTGAAATACTCAGGTTTATCAGCACAAGCGTGTTTTTTCCCATATATCTCTTTCCCTACTAAAATATTTAGGAGTACTCTGCCTCTTTGCTGCAGATACTCTTTGTCTCTGCCCAGACTCCTAAATCTGTGAGGAGTGACTGGACACTGCAAACCAGCAGAAGCTGTGCACCACTTCCTGTAAAGCCAGCATGCTCTGGGGCTGTTCCTTCCCTGACAAGTGTCTTATGTAGAGAGGGTTAATGAGTCAATCCAGCAACAGCTGTAGACAGAAACTGTGTGAGAAAATAGGAAATTTGCCTGTGGAGGCTTCAAGTTTTCTTTGTAATTTGCATCCAATGCAACTCAGACTTCTTGAAATTCTGCATGGAAAAAGTGATTAAGGTACTTTGTTTGGCTACAGAATAATGAGGTTCACATCCCTTACCAGTTCCTTGCAGAAGATACCTGCTTGTTGCATATCCTACACTGGTGAYCTTTCAGCTTGTCTAAGAATCAGGCTTTTTCTAGCTTTGCTCTAATCATCAAATATTTACCTGTAAAAATTGAAAGAACCTAACAGGAATAATTGAGACTTAAATTCATTATAATTTTTTTTAATAACAAAAATTGTCAAAAAACTTGGTCAGATATAAATAAAGAGAAGTAGTGAAGTAGCTTTACAGGAGAAGGAGAGTTTGCCCAGTATCTCAAACTTTGTAAAGGAGAACTCAATTTGTGYAAAAACATCTCAAAGCATATGGAATTAGCAGGTTCATTTTCACACATTGCCTATAAATGACATCATATTCTCCCCTTATTTCAGGTTTATAAATAGTTTTGGACAGTTTTGTCTCTGTAAGTATCTTAGTATATAGGCAAAGCAACATATGCCATGCAGTTTTRCCTTTGTAAATGCAGCTTGTTCCAACATCCCAAGCAAGAAAAGTTGTAGGGCCAAAGCAGTATTTTTGCAAGGACACCAGAGGCTGATGCTGTGTAGTCCCAGCTGTGTTGGTTGCAAACACACTGCTGCAAAATCTGTGCGGCAGACATGGCTGCAGGTGTGCCTTTTGTATTGTTTCCCATTATTTGGCTTAGATGGAGTAAAATGTTTTAAAATTGRGTTTTTACCATGAGKGTGGTAAGACACTGGAAGAGATTACCCAGAGAGGTGGTAGATGCCCAATCCCTGGMAACATGCAAGGTCRTGGAGGGGCTCTGGCAACATGCAAGGTCATGGAGGGGCTCTGGCAACCTGATCCAGTTGAAGTCCCTGCTCATTGCAGAGAGGTTGGCCCAGATTATCTCTAAAGGTGCCTTCTAGCCCAAACAATTCTATGRTTTTATGAAAAGAGAGAGTAGATCTTTCACAAAACCAAGAAAACTACTTGGAAAGGAAAGGGGACTTATGTGAGATCTGTATATGAGTCGGTTGTTTCTGAGACACAAAAGGCGCTGTTCCATGATGCAGTTTGAGCATGGAGCTGCAGGAGTGGTGCCTTTCAGGAGGGCCGGGATCAGCTCACAGCCGTGTGTTTGTCCCACAGGAGTACGAGTTCACGGTGCTGCCCAACGCCTACATGATCCACATGCCGCACGCCCCCAGCTTCGACATCACCAAGTTCCGCTCCAACAAGCAATAYCGCATCTGTCTCAAGACCCTCAAGGAGGAGTTCCAGCAGGACATGTCGCGCCACTACGGCTTTGCAGCGCTCAAATATCTCACGGCAGAGAACAACAGTTAGCACCGTGGAGCCCATGCGTGGGGAACAGGGTCACCGAGGGAAGAGCCACTCAGCGTTTGGGGCCTGGTCTTCAAACTTGGAACTGAGAAATACTTTCTGGTTTTATATCATATTTGGCAGTTCTAACAGTAGAAATTTGAAGTGACATGTGTTTGGACTATGCTCATTCGTCCCTTCCCTGACTACCCCAGGCCTGCTGGCTTTAGCATTCATGAGGTTTCTGCAAGGAGCCAGCTGGGCACCCTCCAAGCCACTGAAGGTGGGGACTGGGCAGGGCCTGGGATTGCGCTCYGCTCTCTTGACTGTAGAGCACACACAGACCTTCAAAATATAGGATTTCATGTTGCTATTTAATAATTTGACATGCTTTTTATCTGTAAAGGAAGATCTTCGGGTCGCTGTCCTGTGAATTTCAAATCTGCACTATTCTAAAAGGGAACTTTCACCTGTGAACTTTCACAGGGGCCCTGTTAACATGGATGACCTTGTTAATGCAGGATGAGCCAAAGGTCTGAATTAGCCTTGAAAACACAGGGGTCGCTTATACAATACTGCACTTCTGAGGTGTGTTACTGGTTCAGTTGTATACATGATATCGGTTGGTCTTTTATTCTCAAATTAATTGTTTTCATCAGGAAAATCCCCTATATCCTACCCTGCCTTTGCCCCAGTCCTATATGCTGCTCCTTTCCTTGCTAAGGAGATATCTCCCCTGTTTTTCTTTGCCATCTTTGGTTTTGGTGGTCCAGTAAAGAAGATCAGTAGCTCTGCCAGAAAGTGAACATAACTTGTCAGTGTAAGGTCTGTTTTTATCAGAGCAACTTGCTCACATGTGTCTTGTAAGATAAAGGGCCTGGCTCTAACTCTTTATCTTTTTTAGGCAAGAACTGGATTTTACCTATAMGGCACATTGTACCAGGGGAATATTGATTTGTAGGCTCATTTCAGTGCTGCCCATCCTGAAGGCACTGGGCCTTAGGCTTTAAGTGGACTTCTTTGCTGAACAGGGAATATAAAATAGTAAAAAGGCAATAGTAGCCTTGGTGCTCTCCTGCTGCCTGCTGCAAGGTCTCAGAACTACTTCGTTAAAGGAGTTTATAATTAAAAGGAGCAGAACTGTTAGGAATAAACTCCCCATTGGACGGGGAGAAAAGAATGTGTTGGGAATCTGAGTGAGTGTTTGCTTGAACGTGGACTGGTCGAGTTCACAGCATCGGTACACACCGGAGTTTGCTGGAGGGCGAACAGGAACCTAACAAGCAAAATGCAGAAAACAAGACACTGGACTTTTTGCCATTTTCTTTATCTTCAGTATTAATGTTGTGTTTACATGGGATGAAGAGATGAGGTGCACTACCCCTTGCAGGGCTATTTGTAATTTTTGTTGCAATGTTAAGAGAGAAAGAAGAAACAACTCAGTGAGAAATGTGTCTGTCTCCCTACCCCAGACCCCAAACAACCACACGTACTAATACCACTGCCTGAGTTGGGAAATGGATCCACACTGYGTTCTGCTCACGTTTTTCCATTTTGTTTTTCAGCCACTGGACCTTCTACTTCCCTCCCCACCTCATCCCTCTAGAGCTTGGTTTTATTTCTAACCTGACATTTTGTGAGAGCTTTCTGTTACGGTGGAAACCACGCAGTTAAACCAGACATTTAAACTACAAATATCAGTTCATCATTCTGTGTATATATAAGAAAAGCCAAAAAAGGCAATACCTTTGACAAGAAATAAAAATGGGCGGGAGGCTATGTGTAGTTTTCACTTTTCCCCTGGGAGTGTTGGCTGCATAAGATTATATCACTGCATAATTTTCCAAAGAGCTTTTTTTTTCCTCTCCTCTTAATGGCTTTATGTAAAGATTTACATAAAAAGCTGGAGAGAGCTGGGAAGAAGTGAAATTAGTGCTCAGTTCTAAGATATATTCTTTTAAAAACATCAAAGTCTTAACTCCCCAAGTTCTGTATTACCRTTAAAGACCCAGGTCATTGTGCTTATTGAGAATGAGAAGAACCCTGGAGCACAGGGACTGTTGATTAGCTAATGTGCAGAAAGATCCCAAAACCTGACTTAAGAGAGGCTAACACTCGTTGTACCTACATAAAATCTCCAGTCAGAGCTTCAGTGTGGCCACCATTATGTTTCACATGTATTAAAAATTGTCATTTCCAGATGTACATTTCTCCTTGGTTTAACAACGTTGCCYGAGAATGGACTGGATTGCCCTACAGCAGAATAACCCTGTACATTATTTGTCTGTACCATTTCTCGTCATTCTTCTCATTATTCTCTTCTCAGTGGTCATGCAATGAGGATGGGAAAGCAGGGAGGCAGTAATTTGCTACTTGCTTGACTGTGCAGTGAGTCGTGAGACCTCCAGGGTAGGGTTAGGKATGCTGGCTGGTATAACCAGCTCAGAGATTGGTAGTAGGTACAAAGAGTCCCTTTTTTTGTCCTCATAGACACTGTACTGACTTGTTTCTGTCACGTCACGTTTGTCTCTGTGCTTCATAATTTGAGAGGTATGGGGCTTGGGGTTTGTTAGCGTATTTCAACCAATTTACCTGATAGCAAGTTAGGATTCCATGTCTGTCTGTAACTGCCAGGACTCCTCCAACACCATGAAAAAATCTACCACTGACAACAAAAAAAACAATCCCTGACTCAGTTATAACACTGACTGTCTTCCAGTCCTCTGCTGTAGTATTTGCTAGGAACTTTGTTACTTAATTCTCAGTTTTCTTCCGAAATCTTCCAGAAATAGCAGATAAACCCGGTAACTTAATGCCTTTGATTTATTGATTTGTTCCATCCACTTCTCTCTTGAGTCTTCAGTCTATGACCTCTCCTTATCTTTGGTATTTGGAAAGTGTGAGTCTCTCATTTAGATACCACTCCAGCACCCTCTCAGTGAAGACTGATGCAAATAAATCATTTAGATTCTTGGCAATGTCCTTATTGTCTTTAATGGTTTCTTTTGCTTGTTTAAGGTGGCCTTCTGGTTACCTCCACTTTCTGCTTTTGGTGTACTGAGCAAATGTCCATTTTCAGTTTTAACTTCCTACTGTTTGTTCTTCAGATTCCCTCTTAGCTTCCTCAAACTCCATCTTAACTATTACATACCTTGCTTTCAGCTTTACACAGTCTATTTCCATTCTCTGAGGGCTTCCAATTCGGCCTGAATAACTTGTAAAATTTCCCATTTAGTCCTATCAACATTTCCTTGTCTTTGTCTTCCATTCATCCAAGGGGTACCATACTCCATGGCTGCATATCAGCCCTTTCCATTCTAATCTGAGGATTTAATTTTTTCTACTTCATTTATTTAGAGACACTGATTCTTTAAAACAGAAAAGAGGTTTTTGTTTATAAATTTATATTAAATGTCACCCTACTGGGTTTTGAGGGTATTTTCCTCTTTAACCTTCCTAAATGCTCACCTTTTCCTAATCAGGGGATCAGAAATAAAAYATTACAAAAATTGGGCTCTTATCTTGACACATTTTGTTCTGTGTCTCCCTTTTCCCTCTCCACTACAAAACATTGACACTTAGGAGTCATTGCAAACTTTTCAAGTTCCAAAGCCTGAGCTGTGTGTTTTTCCAGCACCTTCTGATATCCCATCACATTTCAGACGTAATTATTATTCCAAACAATAATCTGCTGCCTGGCACCTAGTCCTCCTATTTTTGTTTTCATACTTGTCCTTATAATGTAACAGGCTTTGCAAGTTTAAGTTTTGGGCAAACACTTACTTAATACCTTATTGTAACCTTCTAATATGTTTCCATGATTTTTGTCTGTTGCCACAGTAGATCTATATATTTATATATACACCTTCAAAACTTTGTCTCTAGTTTCTATCCTATGGTTTTCTAGCTAAGGGTCATCTACCATTTGCCTACCTCATAGACCTAGATAATGTCATTTTTTATCCTGGATAGTTCTTAGTATCTATCAGGTTTTTTTCCCAAGTCCTACTTCAAGTAATTCCTTCCATCCTTGCTGATTTCCTGTGTAAACAATCTGGTGCCACTTCACAATTAGCTATTATTTGTCTGTTTGTAATCATCATCTTGGACTCCATGGCATAAAGGAATTAGCAGCTATACCTGCAGTTCCATCACCTCAGTTAGACTGAATATGACATATGCTCAGATTACTCCTACAGTACTGATTTTTTTTACCTGGTTGGCTTCATGTGGTTTGTTGGTAAATTGTAAATGAGTTTTTCTTTTACTGCAGAAGCAGAGGCACTTTGTAGTGTTCTTTGCAGTAGCTGTTGCAGCAGAGTAAGCCCCATCTTGGAGGGAAAAGCATAAAAACCTTGTCGGAATCGTAGCTGCTGTTTCTCTCCACAGGGGAAAATAAGGCCCTAGCACAGCTGAACTGTTTTATAAATGCCCTGCACAAAGCAAATTGCACATTATTTTCTGGTAGGTATAATCATACATCGTCCAATTAAATATGAAAAATACATTTTTAATGTTCTCATTTTTATGTGCAATTCTACCCAGAAAATAATGCGTTTCCTCCTCTATCTCGCCAGTTTCCCCCATTACTCCAGCCTGCCTAATAGCCCCATCTGTTTTCGGCTGAGAAAGATTAATGACCAGAAGCACTGGGAGTCCTGGCAAATCAGCAGAGATATTACTCTTAGGCATTGCTYAGGACATTCCTTCCTACTCTGCCAGATACTGTCTGGGTGTTCTTCAGGTTTCAGGGCAGCAGCAGCAGAACACAGCAAGCTCAGCAAGTGGAGTGAGTGTCATTATTTATGAACATCAGCCAGGACTAACACATTCAGTGGTGGGAGTGCTCAAAAGAGAATGCATCATTGTTAGCTCAAAACATATTTCAATATTTGGGGAAAAAGAACAGCTAAGTTTCTGCAAATTCACTTAGGTGAGACAGGAACAAATAAGTCACTAGTAGACAATGCCAGCCAATAATCAGGTATTTCCACTGCAGTATTGAAAATAAAGAAGCATTGATAGCTCAATGAAGTCATTTTTACAGTAGTAATTAAAAATGTATATTTAGATAGTGTGTTTACATTCAAACACTTAAGTGTATTGAGGACCGTTTGAAGATTGTCACTTTGTTTCACAATACAAAATTGCTTGGAAAAGCTAGCTGTGCACAGCAAATTATGGCTCAGGAAATGCTTACAAACCTGGATTTAAAAAAACCTTGCTTCCATAGGAGTTTGTTTTCATCAGCAGTTATACATTCCCAAAGCAGAACACAAAGTCCTTGAGATTTTCAAAAGGACCTATAAGTGTGTCAGCTGACTGGAACATTTTCCTCTTACCCTTGCTTGGGATTTGTTTACAGAATATAATTATTCTGATGAGTTGAAAAAAAAAAAATATCTGGAAATTAGAAAGCCAGCCAAATATTTATTTATGTGGTCAGTCATATGCACCTTCTTGTTCAGACATGTTAATGGATACTCCAGTGGAGGTGTTAGCTCATTGAGGGTATCAGGATGCAAATGACCTGAAGCCCAGGCTCGGAGCTTACTATCTTTTCAGTCACTCTGTGTAGTTTCCCCTCTCTCTGGTTAGAACAGCTTCCTTGCTCCCAGCAAATTACTGTTTCTGTAGGGTTAAGATGTGTTAAACCTCTGCAACATGAATTTGTGGAAGTCACTGCACAGGTAGCAAAGGCTGCACTGAGAGAGCTCCATGGACCATTGCCACAAGACACGAGATTTCATTACAAAAGAAACAGTTCTGACCTGAGGGTAATTCTCTTGCGAGGGATTTAGACATCCTACCCTCACCAGATATATTCAAGAAGAGGTCCCCCAAACACATTAGGCCAAGTAATTCAAGCCAAGATTAGCCCATTTCTSAGTATTCTGGCAATATAATTGTGAATTGATGGATGTGGGAATTTTCAGCATTAACCATTGAATACAYACCAAGGCTTGTGGTAAGGCTGCAGAGTCAATCATGTGGAAGTTAGGGGACCTGAAATTTCAAGTTGCTGATGGAGTTCATGATTTTTTCATGCCACTTCTTTCTGTTGCCTCACACATATATAGTAGGATGTWGTCTGTACACAATTCTCTTCAAGATTTTTTGGGGGAATTCTCTTTCATTCTGTGTGCAGAATGGATGATGTTTGGGTGAATGAAGGAGCAGGATGGTACTTTTTCTTTCACTGAGCTTTTCATAATATGATAGCAGCCTTAATTTTGAGCCAAGACAGACAGACTTATTTTTTTTCCAGAGGATAGGTATAAACTTTTATTTGGGAAAATCAATTATCCACCATGCTCTCAGGCTTTCTGAGCAGAACACCTGCAGTTCTGTTCTACAGGCTTTTCTTGTGTGGAGGTATCCTATGGAGCTTTTGGAAATTACAGATTAAGAAGCCTTGTAGCACTCTGCTCCAGCCTTCCAGTGCTCACAGCTGAACTTACAAGACTGATGAATCCCATCTCTGTTCAAGCATGTCTGCTCCATGGCTGGGAGCACTCTAAAGACTATCAGCAGTCTGTCAGGTAAGCAAAGAAAAATGAAGTAAATAATTGGAGGTGGGGGTACAATGGGTTTGTTTTATGTAGCCAAATTTCCAGAGGAATGAGGAAGATGTGAGCATTTTGAAATCCCTCAGAAGATCTGTTCATAGGATGTGTGGACTGGACTAGATTCATTCTGGATTTGTGGCATTTCTTATCTAACACTGGCCAATGTGGGCCACCTGCAGTAAATTCTATGTATTGTAAAATTCTTGAAAGTCAGCCCTGAGATTAAACCATTCCTAGCTCAAAGATATTTAATTTGTTTCCATTCTTTGGATTCCCACACTGATCCTTTGGTGCTCTTAAGAAAAAGGAATAAAAGAAAAAAGATAATAGCAGCTTGATAACAGTAGGAGTCTGACTATCCAGCCTTTCTTAAATTGTCAGCACTGAGGTCAATGGTTGGGGCAAAGCTAGAGTTAGTGAGGTTCATAGAATTTCTTCTTTTGTTCTGCCTGTGGGACTGTTGTTCCAGTAGTGCTCTCCAGTGGTGCTATGAGGGAAGAAAAGCTATCCAATGTGGATTGATCCATGAGCTCTTCATCCAGTCAGACCTAACCACCAGCAGCAGGAAAGAAGTGGCACCACCCCTTTTGACTTTTTTTAGATGGCAAGAATGAGTTCAGCACAAAATCTCTTACTTTGATGACAGACTTTGCTGAGCGTTTCTGCATTTTAGATGTATGCTTGCTGTGAGTGACAGAGGCCTCTGCGGTTAGGAAATGATGGGACTCAGCAGTTTGCTGGTCCAGAGTGAGAGCAAGAGGTGTGTGTATTTTCCCTTGACACCTTGCCCAGTGTTTACTAATTATATTAGCACCAAATAATTCAACTGACCTGAGACTCAGTGTTTAGGCCAGGCAGTAAGGTTCTGCTGTCTATGTTGATAAGAGAATAGACAGATAAACTAAATTATGTTTTCTGTCCATAATATCAGTGAATATTTCCATACAGGTTCAAATGGCTCATGGAGAGTTTACATCTTCTATTTTTTACTGTTAAGGCTTATTCAAAGAACAGCAAAAGCAACTCAAAAAAAAAGAAAGTCTGTTGAGTACTGTAAGGACCCACAAGGATAAACATTCACAGAGTCATCAATATAAAATATCCACCAAGTTACCCTGCCAGCTATTGTCATGAATGCAGAGAATACAGGCACTATCATCATCTTTCTGTTTACACTTCATAGAGCAAAACAAATGCRTGTACTAAAAACAACTCTCTGAATCAGATCACCCAAGACACAAATATCTTCTAATTTTTATCGGTTTCATTTCCATTTTCATAAGTAAAATTAAAAGTTTGCAATATTTTTTTTTAATTTTTATTCATCCTGTTCAATTTAAATATTTATATACACAGCTGAATATGAGCCAGCAGAGCCCTGGCAGCCAGGAGGGACAACTGTCCTGGGGGGCATCAGGCACAGCATCACCAGCTGGGCAAGGGAGGGGATTGTCCTGCTCTCTGCACTGGGGCAGCCTCACCTCGAATCCTGGGGACAGTTTGGGGTGCCACAATAGAGTAAGAAGGATCTAAAGCTGTTAGAGACCATCCACAAAGATATTGAAGGGTTTAGAGGGGAAGCCATAGGAGTGTGGCTGAGATCACTTTTCAGCCTGGAGAAGAAACTTGAGGGGAAACCTAACCATTGCAATTACAACTTCCTTGTGAGGGGAGAAGGAGGGGCAGACACCAATCTCTTTGGTGACCAGCAGCAGAACCCAAGGGAATGGCCTGAAGGTCAGGTCAGGGAGGTTTAGGYTGGATATCAGGAAAAGGTTCTTCACCCAGAGGGTGGCTGGGCACTGGAACAGGCTCCCCAGGTAAGTGGTCACAGCACCAGGCCTGACAGAGTTCAAGAAGCATTTGGAAAATTCTCTCAGGTACGTGGTCCCTGAGATTGTTGGGGATGATGCTGTGCAGGGCCAGGAGTTGGATTCTGTGATCCTTGTGGGCCTTTTCCAACTCAGGACATTCTATTTTAATATGTTGCAGCTTTCTTCTGCATCTGTCAGACTCAAAAACATTACAGCATTGTCTGTGGAGAAGAACAGAACTGAGGGATCGTTGAGTTGTCCTCCATGTTGGTGCAGAGAAATCCTTTCCAGTAGCCTTGTGGATTTTTTTTCCTTTGTGCTATCACAGGTTTTATTTCTGTCTTAGCATTGTCTCTTCCAGTAAGTATGAAAGCCTGCCGGCTTATATTGGTTTCTTACTGGAGCAATGTTTCTCAAATGGCACCTGAGCCTCCACACAAATTTATTTGGCAGGGGTTTGTTTTTTTTTTTTTTTTTCAATTTTAATCTTCAAGCTTATACTTGAGAAAAGATTCTTCATTTTGAAGCTGTAAAAATGGGTTCACTATGTTTTGTTTTATTTTTAGCATATTCATTTTATTCAAACTTTTCTGTCTACTTCATCCACCGATCTTCCAGGGAAATATTGTTTTGAGAGGAAGAGAATAATTGTAAATAGTCCAAGGGGGCTGGAATCAGCAGCTTTTATGAGGGTGTTGTGGGTTTAAACCCGTTTTTCCCTTATCCGAGTCACAGCACCAAAAATGTTGTGGTTTGAACTTGACCGAAAGCCAAAAGCACTGCATCCACAATGTTCTCTCCCTCCCCAGCCACCAGAGAGGGCAGAAGGGAGAGCAAAAGCTCAACACTAAAATTTATGGCTTTTAGGTAACATAACATAATTGAGAGAAAGATACATATAATGCTCCAGAAAATGGTCAGACAGGCTGAATAACTTAAGTTGCAAAATAGATTTATTACTAAAAACTACTAAGAATAAATACTACYGCACTGGGGAGGGGAAAAAAGATAGGGAAAAATTTACAAGGAGAGGAAATAAAAACGGACATTTTAAGACACCTGTTATTCTTTCTGGGAACCTGGCTCTCTTCTAAATYGTCCCTCTCTACCCCCCATGCCTTCCCTCATGCAAAGGGGGACAGGGATGAAAGYTTAACATAGATCAAAACTCCAGCATCATAGGAGAAGAGTCCAAGCTGTGGAAGTTCTTTTCCCAAGAAACAGTCCATGTATAACTTCTGATGGCATGGGATTCTTTTTCTTTACTTTGTGGGACAAAGGAAAACAGTCCTCCAAGGCTGACTGCRTTGTTTCAGCAGCGTAAGGCCACTATCACAAATCTCCTGGCTGAACACAGCTCTTTCTAAGCATCCACTTGCTTCAGACATGGGGCGGCAGGGGGCACCTCTTCCCCCWTTTTGGCTTCTGATCAGTCCAGTCCTCCAAGGCCAGGTTTTTCCTCAGAGTAAGGTCGCTCTCTTTTCTMTATAGGTCTCTCATTGAAGAAATAGTCCTTTCGAGAACAGCTTGTTTTCTCCATGTTCGAGCACCACAGCAACAGCACAGCACCTGTCTTCTTTTTACTGTGATCGTGGATCTCCATTTTTTTCTTACATCTCCTCACCCTCCTGCTCTGTTTTTCCCCAGTGCATGATACTAAAACTAAATRCTAACAACCTAAAAGCTACATGGCGGCCGCTCCTATCTTGTTTTTAATTCTTCTTAAGTACAAGACCATWCRTCATCACAGAGCTGTAACTATCCTGTGCAATTGGCCCAGCCTGACCAGCAGCCTGTCCATCAACCTCAGAGCCATAAKGGATTGGTTCTAAAACACAGGGGGTAGGGCTCCTTTTGCTGGAGAAGAAGGAGAAAGCTTCTAGAACTTYSTCACAGGAGCCATCTTTGTAGTTTCTTGGTCCCATCCCCCCACCACCAAAAATCGGACCGAGTAAAACCAGGACAGAGGGTTAGTAATCTACTCAAGCCTGAAATTTTAGCACAGGTTTCTAATACTTATGAATTTCCCACTGTTTCTGTAGGGCTCAATTTCAGGATCCTTCTTCAGCCTGCCCATTCTTGGGTTTTTCCCTTTTTCTCCACATTTCCATCTGCTGCAGCCCTAAATCCATGTTTATATCAGCCTCAGGTTGGTGTTGACAGGTATTTTAAAGACACTATAGATAACTTCTACGGTTCTGAGATCTGGTTATAACTATTACTTTACTTWCAGAAAACGCATCTCTACATTGCTGGTTCCCTTAAGATATCAAGAACATATAAAAAAGGAGAAAAAAAAATCCTTGGGCTGCTGGAGGAGAGGAAAGACTCAGGCATCTAATGCCATCATTGTGAAAACAAGACTTATTCCACTTCTCCCTAGTGTATCCAAAACCTCATGAAAGGTACCACCAAAGTGATCTGAATACCAAATGAATCTCACAGTGCCAGGATCTTTAGGTTCTTAGGTGCCCAGCTAGAACCAACTCAGGCCCCAGTTCAGCCCACGTAACTTGGCAGCTGCCTGAGACCCCTGGTGTAGGAATTGGTCATGGAGTCATAGAATCATTTAGGTTGGAAGAGACATCTGTGTTCATCAAGTCCAGCCATAAACCTCCCACTGCCAAGTCCACCACTAAACCACGTCCCTAGGTGCCACACGTACACATCTTTTAAATACCTCTGGGGATGCAGACACTGTCCTGGGCAGCCTCTTCTGGTGACTGACATATCTTTCAGTCTCCTTAATTTCCTCTGAGGGTCAGTGGAGTGAGCAGGGCTTCAGAAAAGAGCATTTCAGTTCATTTCAGCATCACATGAACCCTTTRCTCTGAAAAGCAGGAAAGGTTATGGTGCTGGTGGTGCCCATGCAGGTGCCTCAGGTGTTCACACGTAACACAGGACAAATCTGGGCCAGTGAGCACCAGTTCTAGGCCTACATAAATGACACCTACTCATTTAAGATTGCAGGTGTCAAAATCCCCTGGAAACTGAGCAGTAAGTGYCACAAGGCCTTATACTCAATATTAGCTGACAAACCTGAGAACAGCAATCCATATGATGGAAAAGGTGTGGGTGGATCAGCCACAGGAGGGGAATTATTTGTGGACTCCTGAGACTGTGCTACATGTTGTGACAGACAGCTTGTGCTAACAGCCAGGAAAGCACTCATTTTCAGCACAAAAATGTGGGGCTTTATAATGGTGGTTAAAATATTACCCCCAGCATTKTTCATTGGGTTGGGCGAGGTTTGTTGCTATGTGTCAGCCAGCACAGTGTTTCCAACAGTGCAGGTAACAAACTGTGAGAAAGAAAAGGTAAAAACCCACAACCATGGCTTTTTCACATGTATTACTCCTTAAGACTCAAACCTCATTCTTTCTCTTCCATGGCCAAGTTGATTCTACATTCTCCAGGGTATAACTGGAATGCCATGACCTTTAGGGTGAGCTGTGTATGAAACAAGACTTGTCATTTTCTTGCAAGGCTTGTGGCACTGAAGGCTTTGAATYTCCAACTCACCAAATTCAATTTCCCAGTATATTACCTGGCTGACTGTCCTTCTGCTTCAACTAATACTGACATCTTTCTGTTTCTCTCCCCACCTGGGGAAAGATTTTTAAGTAATGTTTCAGGAAAGAGAAAAGAATGAATGTGTCTTCTTTCCTTATGCTGCCCCATCTCCCTAAGCACCTCCCCCTCCAGACTGAGGCAATTTGCATATAACACAAACTACTTAATTTACACATATGCTTCAGTCCGTGTGTAAGTTTTCTAGGTGACAATTTTATCGGGGAAAATCTGTTTAGATTGTGTGTGCAAAGTAAATATTAAAAAAAAAAAAAAACAAAAACAAACAAAAAAAAACAACCAAGTAATTTTCAATTGTGCAATAAAATTGTGAAATAATCCTCTCAATTCCTTTCCAGTGTCTGACTTGACACATGCTGGTTTTAATAGCATACTGTTGTTTCTTCAGATGGGAACAAAAAAAAAGAGAGGTCAGGAGCTGTTTTGCTTTCATCTTTAAGCTTTTTATTACTTTTTAATTTTGCATTGTCATTCCCTTTAAGTTGGTTTATTCCTCCAACCCTGGTTCAATCAGACACATTAGWACAAGGCTGTTCCCTCTGAAGACAGGTGAGTCATCTGCTCAGAGTTAATCTGCTTTACTTGACCTTGACCTTCTTCTTGCTGTTACCTTTCTGTAACCAAAGACAAAGCTTTGGCAGATGGGGGCAGTTTACTCAGTTCCTCTATGACAACAAGCAGGTGAATACTCCACGGTGGATGACAGCTCAGCACCACATGGCAGCAAATCCATCAAACAGGTTAGAATTGCAAAGGCTTCATCTGCTATGTGGCAGCATGGATTTCGCATTATACAGGAGTCCTTCTCTTGATAATAGGAAAAAACTAACCAAATAACAGAAGCCTTCACTTTTCTATTAGTTAACCCTTGCTGATGGGTTTTTCAGGTGCTCAGAGCTGCAGCTGCCCCATCCCAACTATAATCTTATGCTGGTAGGTCCTTTGGCACTAATAAGCAGAACCATGGGGTTATATCTCTCTCCCTTTCTGCTTCCTTTCTACTTGGTGGCCTACAGCCTTTCTGCAGAACTTCATTACTAAGAAAGGAGATGGGGACCAGAATGGGAAGAAAGGTAAGATGCATAATCCTATGTGGTTTGTTGTGGTCTTCTTTTAAACCAAAATTCAAAGTAGAGTCTATTATAAAAGTGTGTTTGCTGGGGATGACAACACAGAACTCACATTCAGAGGGGCATCATAAAAATTAGGATCTCCCTCGATATGGAGCCTCTCTCAAAGATTGAATAGACTATGAAGAAAAACTAGTGTAAGTGGGCAAACTAGCTGAATTTTTTTGTGTTTTGGACAGTTAGAGAATCAAATAGATTTTTTTTTTTTTGTGGTTCATGAATAGCTGGGAGTCCAACAGAAGTTAGAAAAARAGGGCTTTGGTTTCATTATCAGAAACTTAAATACTTGGAAAAGTTATATATACATATAAATAGGTAGAAAAGGAATTCACAGAAAAGGAAGATGAAAGAGTGGAAACATAGAAATAAGAGTTTTATAAGCTGAACTCTGCAATCATTGCAGAGAAAAGGAAAACMTGCAGGTGTAACTCCCTTAAATTCCCTGACTTTGCAGCAAGGCAAAGCTGGCTTGCACTGGGAAATGAATGATTGAGCAGGTGCAGGAAGTGAATGGCATTAACTGAGTAAATAGCAGCCGCTTTTCAATAATCAGGCTCCCAGAAGGGATCCTCTGCCTACGTCATTTCCATATTACCCACAACCCTTCCAATCCATCCACCTCTGACAAATCAGAAATAAAGAACAGTGCTTCCTCTAAGATTTATGTTAAATATTAATACTCCAGTTCAGGTGCAGTAGGACAGATTATAGTATGTTTAGCCTGGGCTAAAGTTATACTTTGTCAGAAGGGGCAGTTGAGTTCCCAAGGCTGAAGTAATGGTGGGGCATTCTGTACCAGCTTGCAATTTCAGGTGATAAGTGGCAACAACCCTGAGTTATTGTTTCAGGCTTTTGCTGATCCAGCACCTTCAGTTATGCTAGGTTCTGATTTTGAAGGTTAATTTTGCAATTATAGCTGCTGTACACATTTTGTTGAACAAAAGCCACTGTTTTGAAGTGGCCACCAGAGAGAWGATTGAACAACTCTAATGGGTTCAATTCATCCTCTGCTTCAGGGCATAACAACATTTCTTAGAAGCAATTGTTCCTCTTTCCTGAACTGCATAGGCAAGTGTGAGGATCCATATACAGTTGCCTTTCCTTTATCATGCCCTTGGATTTTTCTTGCACTGGAACACTCCCATGTGTTTCTTGCTCAGAAGAGCTCATCCATGTTGCTTTCAGAGAGCAGCCCTCCTGTTAAGACCCTGTTAGTCTCATCACTGCTCCTAGAGAGACCCAAGTCCTTGTGCTTTCTTCACCTGATTATTCTTTCTCTTTTCTGGGGGAGCAGATGTGCACACCCACACACCTTCTTGTTGCCTTCTCAGCTTGGGCAATGTTTTCAACAAATGGGAAACCTTTACTTAGGTTTTGTCATGAAGAAATTGGGAAATCTGTACTACTGCTATRTCTTACTGATGTGTTATTTCATAGTAATCCAGGGGAAGTCAGGTTCGTCCATCAGGATTGCCTAGACAAACCGTAAGAGAATCTTAGAGAAACAAAGCAAAGCAACATTGAGATGCTTACAAGCAAACTTCTGATTCACATTGCAGGCTCTTCACAGGTGTCTGTCAGTCCTCAAAGGATCARGTAAAAGAGACATACATGAGATGYTCCCCTATCACACACYAGTCAGCTCAGTTCCAAAATAACAWTTATAATAGTGTATGAGCATCACACTCCAAAGGCTGCCACAGTGTTCTGTCAAATGGCACAGACAGCTTTCAATGATCAGAAATGTCACTTTGTAATGACAGCATTTATTTATTTATCTATTAAACTTTCTTTTAAGCCTCACACTGCCTACTTTCAAGCCTTAAGTAACACTCTTCCTTAGAGCTCATTTTCTTTTTGTTTCAGTGACACTGCCTTTCTTCACTTCTCTTTGTATTTTTTCCATTATATAGTGGCTGTTCAGGTAGTGAGGCTGTGTGTTCTCATGTGGGCAAGCTGGAACCAACCAACCCCAGGAACCTACCAACACATTTCAACCTGTGGAGAACTGCCATGGCAAATTCCTCTTTGCTCTCTCTGTGCTACTGCACTCACAGAGGTGATTTTTGGACAATGTCCCTCTGAGGTGCTGCTGCCTGGCAGAGWGTGTGTGAAATCTTGGGTTATTTCAGTGAGGCTCCATGGTTTCTTTAGGATTACTTGGAAGGGAGARAGCAGTGGCACAAACCTGTGTCACTGTGTCCCCACACAGGGAGCCCATTAACACAGCAGCATCGTGCTTTTCCTTTCCAGCACAGATGGGGGGTGTGGTACCATACATTGAAGCAGTTCACAGATCAGAATTTCCTTCTCTGTCTGGGAATTGCCTTGCTGTGGGAATGTCTGTGTATACATGGTCTGGCTTAATTTCACTGTATTCCCCCTGCAGAGAGGGCAAGTTTATTCTGAGCAATAGGAAAATCCACCAGCTCTGTTCATTACAGTTGAGCATGAGGCATAGGACCTTAACATCAAACATCCTTTAAAATAACAAGATGCTTAATTTTCAGCTGGRGCTTTTAAAAGTCTTTCTGCTGCAGTGCTACAGCTACTCCCCTCAGCTACAAAAACCACATCAGAGACCCAGCAGTTTATCTGCCCTTCCCCAGCACTGAGGAKCAGTCACAACCCTGACCTTGAGCTTTCTTCACATCTCTGGCTGTCATGAAAGGCAGGAAGCAGGAGCTGGAGGCCCTTTTCTGCTCAGTGTCTCAGTTTGATGGTTATTTATCACACCTGAATCTTAGTGAAATGTCTGTTTCATRAGAAACAGATTTAAATTGGATGGTTCATTGATTTGATTAAGAAAAGGGATTAGTATGGCAGTGAAAACTTGTTAGTCAAAGATTTTTAACCCAGCTGTTCCATGGAAAAAAAACGGACGGCATTCTACTGCATATTCCAGCAGTCAGTGCAGTTTGCTTTACAAGCTGTTGCAAAGCTGAAGGCACAGGAACTGRAGCATTTGATTATTGATAAGGGAAATATTTCAGCCTGTGTCACATCTCTACTTGAATTTGACTAGAAGAGAGAGGTGCAGGGCTGTATATGTTCATGTGTTGTGACAAGATGAGAAATGCATGACTGGATCTCTCCTTTTGGGGCAGAGATGTCATGCCAAATTTTCCAGGAAGCAGTGGTCTGCACATTGCCAAGAAAGGAGTATTGTGGAGGGGGACKTTGTAGGTACTTTCATTTCTATACCTATTCCAGCTGCAGAGTTCAGGAGATGGGGTCAAGTTGAGAAGCAAATACTGAAACCCTATCCTAAATGCTGTAATATTTGATATCTTCTGAACATTCATCCTTTGTGTGGAGTCCTTGATGTGGAAAGAGGGCTTAGCCCATTTTAGAGTTGAGTTATCTGAAACAAGKTGAGGTTGTGACTTGTAAATGTGTCAGTGACTAGAAAAAGAATTCTAACTAGCTGTGCCTCAGTTATRCTAAAAATCCATATTTGACATGGGTGAAGTGTTTGTAAATGTTTTCTCTGGGCTGTTCTACATTATAGAGAAAGCACTGTTTTCCAATGGATTACTG